CCTTTGTTTTCTATTATTTTAGGTTGACTGAACTAAACAAGCTGCGTTTCCACGCTAAACTACGATGTAAAACGCCGTTTCTGTCCACTATATATACCACTGAAGAGTTGCATTGGATTGATGCGATAATTTAAAGCTCGATGCAGTTCAATTCAAAATGGCTTCTCGGTGGACAGCGATGTATTTTCTGTTTGGATTTGTGGGATTTGTGAGTTTATACGTCTTTTGTTTCATTCGTTCCATTCTTTACCGAAGCTTACGCGCATATTGTGGGAAGTGTTGTGGGCATGAAGATGATGACTTTGAACGTTACGTGAAGCTTCAAGAACAGATTTCCCAAGACAAGCAAAATACTTCCAAATCTAAAAGAAATCACCAAGTTCCCCAAGGAGCCCAGCAACTGATCTGATATGTTAATCAAGCTACAAGTTGCTTTCTTGTTTCTGCGTTGTAAACACTCAATAGAATTTGTCACCAAATGACTGCAAATGTGGCTATCTCGATTAATTAGAAAACCAGCAAAAACGCAACCTTGTTGGAAACTTAAAAAAAGTGAGCATTTGGCTGGCCTTCTTCGCGACAAGTATGTTGCCAAGAATTTCCACAAAACTGCAGCGCCATCTTCAAGTTCTGTACTTGATGACATGTAGATAATGCAATTTATTCAAATGTTTTATCTTGTGCTTTTTTTTATTCATAAGTGTACTGGCGTAAAGTAGTGTGCATGCCAAGATCTAATTGGAAGAAGTATTGGTATCGATGCATGCATTATAGTCACTATACCGCAGTTTAGTCTTTCAATCGCAGTTGTCAGCAGTTGCACCCATTTGCGCCATTCATAGTGTGATGTTTCACCCTTCGAAAGAGCTCTCATTCAACCGATGTTTTAGGCTTAATTTAAGGATCTGGACAAAATCCTCGTTTTGACAATTCATGCAACCTCTTCGGCTATACTCACTCATGAGTTATTTTAGTTTCAGTATTGAAAAGAAAGCAAAATTTGAAATAACTTTTTTCAGTTTTGTTAGTGTACGCCATGCCGGTTGAAACGCAGACTTAGAGCAATTACCTTATGTTACTTTAAAGTAAAACCTAGTCGATTCTTTCCTCGTTATACGGTACTACTTTATGTCCTCTGGGGGCAGAGTGTTTTAACCTTATTCCAGGAGCCGATTATTTTCTTGTTCTTGGTCATGATTATAGATATTCAAGTCCGCCAAAAATAGTGAAAGTGGCTTTTTGAGCTAATTTATACCCCCATGTAACTGACTGAGTTTTACAAGGAGTGACCCACTAGATCCGGAGAGCACGAAGTTGCTTATTTTTGTGCCCTGTTGTTGATTCTGTCACTACTATAACTCGTCATTTTAAAAGTCTACTGCAACTAACTGTGAGGGATGTTGAACGATCCTCGCACTGTCAATCAGTCGAGGATCAAGCAACATAAAAGCTAATTTCCATCCGCAAACTTTAACATCTTTGTCAGCAACAAACACTCAGGTGAACACGTTTTGGCGCTACGTGGCGCTCTTTGCTAAAGCCAACAGAAGACCCGTAATTTACTGTTCTCCCTTTACAACGATTTTTTTGTGTTACTGATCTGTGACAAAGTAAACAACGAAAAAATAAATTTGGTTAAGGTTGACTAGCTATTGACGTCAGTGCGTGTTTTTGTTCTTCTTATAATTAACAAGTAGTTGTTAAGGGTAACTACGAACTCTTTTATTACTTTAGATTCCATTGTAATAAAAGGTGTTAAAGCGATATTGACTTTTATTTCATGGAAAGTCAACACAGCCGGTGCTAACTAGGTTTCCGTATTCACCCAGTGACAGAGGAAAGACGAAGTGTTGAGAATACGACTCTTCAAGGCTTTGACAGCGGGGACAAAAACCGAAAGAGAAGGTTTGCGCTGACAAATTTTCACATCCTCAAGATACTAGATTTCCACCTACATTGTGTGTAAATGTGCATCATTTTTATTTCAGCCTCAAAATCCATTCAGCTTTTACCTCAAGAAATCCACAGAGTAATTGACCGCTTTCAGATTGTAATTGACATCATCTTTAAAGTCAGTGTTTAGATAATTGGATGCAATTGGATGTGAATTCAAGATGGCGTCCCGCGAGACCTCGATTTATTTTCTAATTGCATGTTTAGGATTTGTGAGCTTATTTGTTTTCTTTGTGCTCTGCTCGGTGGTTTGCCCATACTCAAGGATACGTGTTTTTTGCCTGGAAAGATGCTGTGGCTATGAAGAAACTGAGATTGAACGTTACAAGAAATTACAAAAGCAACGCGAGGAGATGAGAGAGATGGAGTGCTACGCTAGAAGAGAATATCCAGTTTGACACGGAAGTTATTTGATGTGATTTGCAAAGCAAAGGCTCTGGTCACTTGGAAATAACGAGCTTAAAGATATTGGATTTTTTAAAACATATTAAAAATTAAAAAGCTATGAACATGAAAAACTTCAAACCTACTATCATGTGCTAACGTAAACTTCAAGTATTCTTCGACAAGTCTCACGGCAAGACGTTCTTTTTACTGTCTTTCACCGCGACGCCGCCATTCTGTATTGGTACTCATCATACATTGGCTGTTGTCAATACTTCTCCTGGACTGTACTTGAAGGTGCATCTTTTAAAAATAACTCTGGCTGTAGCCGAGCCAATGAATAAAAAAGGTCGGCTCTGAATATTTACCACGATTCTCCTAGTATTCGATGAAGTTTATATTACATATGGTTCAATTTGTTCAATTTTTCACCTCATTTGCACGCTCATGTGCAAGTTCATTACCGCTGGAAAAACCCTTTTCATCACGGCTTCGACCTAATTTCTCTAGGAGAAATCTTTTGCTTTACATATATACATATATACATATATACATAAAATGAAATGACGAAATTCATATTGATCATCAACTAAAAAGTGCTCAATGGGTTGACCAGAACTTTGAATAGATACGTATACTTGAACTAGGTCAAAACCATTTACCATATATACATATATATATTTCAGCAAATACACCAAAGTCAATTCATGATGTGTGATAACACCTACACTTGTCCGTTGTGCATAGTGGGAAAGAGCCCAATGTTTTACTTCAGGGTAACCTTTTCAAGAGCTATAAAAGTAACAGTTAAAAGCCGTCTGTTTGAGTGTCATAGGTTATGTAGCTATACTTGGAGGCAGCGTGGCTGAGTTGTCAGGGAGCAGACTCGTACGACAGCTGGGGACGCTAAGCACTTACTAGTTAAAGCCTTTCTAGCTCTGCCTACATAGCTTTGTTCATGTTACCCTGCGAGCAGAGTTTGCCTTCTGGCATGGCTTTTAGCATTATTTTGTAAAGTCGTTCGCGTCGCTTCGTCAACCGCGTAGTCGACAAGCGGCGCGAGAGAGTTCGTAAACGCTAAAAGCCATGCCAGAAAGATACCTCTACACGCAGGATAGTTTCACGGTTGTCTCTAGCTCAAATTATTACACGTGGTCGGCGATATTAAGTCAAGAAGTAGGCAAAGCTAATAACAATTTATTAAAAATGCTTATTGCAATATATCAACATGACAATTAACGACCGAGTTCAACTGATTACTGTACAAGATTATATGGAACAACCAGTATCCTGTATCCCTCTCATCATGTTTCCTTATTTTCCGGCGTCAATCGAAATCGCATTTTTTTCAAACTTCTTACCGTTTACTTAATCAACCTACGCCAGTTAAGTTGTGCATTGAAAGCTATTAATTCAAGCTAATTCAGGAAAGCCGGACCTTATCTAAGTACAAAGAGTGAAAGACAAATAGTCGTCCGCAAATAAAGAGTCTTTATTTACGTCATTCGTAATTTAAAAATGAAAATAGCCAATTCGGAAATTTTACGTCACGTCGTAGTCGTGTATACGTAGTGACGGGAAAGAAATGTACAAAAAAGCGTTATGGGCGTGCAGGTAGTTACAAAAACTCGGTCGTTTCTCAGTTGACGTTCTCCCGTCACCGTCGCCATCGTGACAGGCTGCTCCAGGCGTTCAGATAGTAGAGAAAGGCGGAAAATGAAGAGCAGAGAGGAAAACAATGCAAAATAGAGGGATGGGGAAAAGGTGGTTTACTTCACCCTCCCTTCCTACCACCCTCGCTATTTTCCTGCTCATGATTCTTTGAGCCGTCCCCTCTATCTGGTCGTCTGGAACAGGCTACCATCGTACAATTGCAATTGTTTTAAGTGCTGAGTAATACAAGATTGATAAAGTTGTTTCTTTTTTCATAGTTATAATATAATGTAGCGCCATTTTCCTCTACACATTGATAAACACCCTGGAAGAAGGAAAAGAAAGCACTCGTAAGATAGTTCCTGTCTTGGTAACTTAAATCTAGGAAAACTACTATACGCACTCTCGTTTGCTTTATTCAAACTCAATTTAATTTAATACTGGTCTACAGCAGTGGAAATACCGGGTGAATATTTCAATATTTTTTTCGCCAAAATAATTCTCATTTTTCTGATGGCAAACAATTCAGTAATCGTCATCCAGATAGTAATCAGTAGTGTCTTCTGCTTCGACAGTCTGTGGAGTTGGAGTGGAAGAAAACGGCCCTTTGAAAAAACAAACAAACAAACAAACAAACAATAAAGGAGACAATGTCAGAACAAGTAAAAACCATTTCCCACTGACATTCTACCCAATCGGATGGAATTTATTCCCGGAGACCCAGGGGCCGAGTTAATTGGGACGGAACATTCAGAATCGAGAGCAAAATCATTGCAGACCAAGTTTACTTGTGGAGTTGTGGAGTGAGAGAGCTTGGACACTCTAACTAGTTCCAGGTCTTCCAGGGCGATTTGCAATGCTCGCTTTTGATTGGCCAGAAAATATCTTAGGGACTTTAGGGCTAATTAGAAATGCATATGGGGAATTTTAAGTTTCTGGAACTGTCTCTGCCCAGGGAGACTCCCAGTTTTGTCCCACTACGTCGTGGACTAAACGATTGAGAAAACTAGTTTTTTCATACATGTCGTTAACTCTATGAGATATAAATATGTAGCCTGTGCCAGGCTCTCAGATAGTATAGTGGGGACGTATTGAACGAGCAAAGCGAAAATAAGACGCGCGCGACTTGGGGTCGGAGGCGGCGGGAAAAATGACGCCGCCCCGTCTCTCCCCAGCCCCCGCGCGTTTTCTTATTTTTGAACGACTTTTCACTTTCACCACCATCTCGGAGCCTGGAACAGGCTAATAAATATGAGAATAATGAATATGGTCAAACAAGGGAAACTTTATGAGGAAATAAGATGAACCCAAGAACCTGCAGTACACCAGGATTCTAGATCTATTTTGGTTAGTCTGGCACCCGATATCATACCGTGGGGGAGTCGGTACACACGTGAATATAACAATGACATACAACTTTTCCCCATCATGCGTACCTGTCGAATTAGGAGGCTGTTTGGTTGTCCCAGATCCACTGCACGAGGCTAAAAAAATCGAATAATACAGTTAGTACAGTAAACAGACATATTTTTCTCGCAATTGCTTTTAGGAATAATTTCAAAGAACTAAATGCCTAAGAAAAAAAAATTTACTTTTGAGTACATGAAAATGGACGGAAATGCCTTTTTTTCAGTCTTGGTTCTCCAAGGAGGAGCTTAATTAAAGAGGTCAAAAAGTGGGGAGATACAGGTAAGCCTTTTGTTTGCGCCCAACAATACCTTGTAATTGCTGCTGGTAATAGCTGTATGTCGTAACTGTTTATCAGTAAGCATTTGTTCTTGGCTTATTAATAGAAGAAGGGTGTAAAACCAACTTAGACTGTAAATGAAAGCTTTTTTCTGTAAATATTCAATTAATTTTATAATTCAGAAGAAACATAAACATAAAAACACCGTCTGTATTGTACTGTTATTTAAGGGGTAAAAGCGGTTCCTTATATCTCATGATTATCTTTAAGAGGGTCTGAATGGGGTTTTGTTTTTAGTGTTATTTGCCCATTACTTTTAGCGTTTGCTGTTAAATTGGTCAATTTTTTAATGAGTACTGTTTCCGTAGAAAATACTGATAAGTGTTTGAAGGGTTTTTCGTGATATGGGCATCCCCTTCTCATATTACCCTAGTGATTTGGGTTAGGGTCACGGGGGATACCCGAAACTGTAAAATGGCAAGGCTTCCTCATTACCTGAACGTGTGGAAAAAGCTAAGCCATACCTTGCGAAGTATTGCAGACTTGAACCCCGCTAACCGGCTCCACACATGACGCGCATGCTCCATCACAGACGTTACTAAAACCAAAAATGTTTTCGGACATCAGGCGTAGAGCAAAGCCGTCAAAGCAATTCTTGCAAGATCCGCTGGCGAGGCACTCTTGGCAGTTGGAAGAAGGTGTTCCACAATCTAAAATGACAAGCGATGATATGATTGAAATGTTCTTTCGAAGAAGAGTGAGAGGGGTCTAACTCAACTGAGGCCAAATTATAATCGTAAACGACAACAACATCGACAAAAATAATTTGAACGTTCAAAAAATACGCTTTGACTCGCTAGGAGAAGAACGAAGCCCGCCCGGCGGTTAGTTCAGTCGGAACAGCGTCAGTCTGATGAGTGGAAAGTCGCCAGACCATTAACCAGGGTCTTTGAATATCTAGCTTTGCCCCATTGTAAGGTAATCCAAGGCATTCATGGGTTCTATATATAGATTCCCCGCTGTAAATTCCGGATTCCAAAGTGCAGGAATCCGGATTCCATAAGCAAAAATTTTCCGGATTACGGAATCCGGATTATCTGGTAAGATCATGTTGGTGTGATTTAGACCTTGCCTCTGCGGTTCAGTTTGACGTCACTGACGTAAACCCCTTGACCCTGTCTCCATCACACCTTCGTTATCAATTCGAAAGGGACGCAAAAGCACCCACACTTCAGCATACTAGTTCTACGCCGCATGTCACAACTAATATAAGGTGCACACCTAACCCAAACCTCTTTAGTTTTCTCCTCGTCAATCTAATTCAAACCTACCTTGTATTAAATCACAAGCGTCAGTCCCGAGGACTGGGTCCCAGACCTGGACTCCATTTCCCGGACACGTACTCACACAGAAGCGCCGGGAGTAAATTCTGCTTAAAGCGTAACCATCTGCACATCTTCGACATTTGTTATCCACGCCATCCACGCAGTTTTCACAATCTGTAGAGAAAGAAAAACGGGTAAAGAGGTGCGCGCGTTGTTCTCTCGGCTGGTAAAATAGAAGTCAGATCAACGCCATTAAGGTCGAGAGCCACGAATTTATTAGTGCAAACTGGCCAATGTAACCCTCATCAAATAATGCTTATTTATTTACTTATTTTTTAAAATGTCCGGCTGTTTCAAATGCGTGTGGTATGTATCATCAGGCACGGACAAACTTGGGTTGTTTTCAAAGAAGTATCAAGGTTTGAATTTTTCAAAAGATAGGTAATTTATTCTCTGCGTGCACCGAAAAGTTTCTGCGACACTTCCTTTCTGACACATTTTCAGACATACAAGATAAAGCTTTTTAATATGGATTTTGCTTTCGGTTGGAACTATTCGAATTTCAAAATCCAAATCTGCATTTCCCAATCGAAGGCACCCGGCCCTATAAAGAGTTGTTTTTGATACTGAAGAGTAAATTATACCAGCGCTAAGTGTGTTTCGAATGTTTTAATTAAGTGTTCTTTGTCCATCAGAACTGAAATTTTTTGCTCAGACATATCCTATTGTGAGGGCTCATGCATCGCGTTTTCGGGGAAGTTTCTTTAACTACCGGGAGCTCTTCATCTGCCTTTTTACATTCAACATTCCGTAAGAACCAGTTGATCGTATGATGACGTCAAACCTCCAATTTTGAGTATCGAGAGAACTCGAAGACGCAAAAAGAAACACAAGGAAAAAACTGTAAATAACTTGATTCAAGAGAGAATAAATGCATGTCAAGAAAGGAGTTTTTGAAGACTTTCCTGTTGGTCAAGGAGCATCAACTTCCATTTGACTGAGATTTTTACGCTTAGCCTTTGCAAAGGATTTTTGGCGAAAGTCTGAGCGAAGCAGACTGGCTTAAGACAAAAATCTAGCAAAAGAAGCGAGCCGAAGGGAAATGGGCTCTTGCTTGCCTTCTCTTCATAGTATCTATCACTAAATCAGGTAAATTACTAAGTGTATCTGACGGTGACCTTGTTTATCGGGAGATCGTACTATTTCGAAAATGAAAGACTCTAGACATGCCTATTGCGGCAATACTCGGATCCAACAAGGACTGCAAGGATATCTCCTGGCATAAAACAATTAGAAGACTTTGTTTGTTGCATTCCAGCGAAGAAACTGATTTCGTGAGAAGGGCATGGTAATCTCTTAATTTAAAATAAGCACTCATTGTCTGTGATCGCGCAAACATTCCCCTGAAAACTACTCACCCTTTGTACTCACTGATGCAGCCCATATCAGGGTTACCATAAAAGCTAAGTTAACAGTCAACAGCACAGCCTTCATGATGTGATTATTGAGGGTGTTTTCTGGAGTGTCCAAAATCTCTTGTGGAATATATGATCGGCTGTTTGTAGTCTAGACGACATTAGATATGTAACGACTCACCCTAGGAATCTGGAAATCGCCGCTCTGAGCGGGAAGTCCAACGGTAAAGGATTAAATATAATGAGTGTGAAAATCTTTTCTGGATTATCACAACTGCGCGTGCAGGCTAAAAATAAAGACAAGAGGATTTTGGTTGATGCTTGCGAACTTTCCTGTTATGTCGAGTACATTAGCCGTTGAGTTTGGATTGATTTGACAGCAACTTTGATTTGTGCCCCTTTTTGCCTACCATACCATAATTCTTTCATGTTTCAAAGCAGGCTGAGCAGGTGGCCGGGCTACGAAGCTAGTCTTGGATAGATTGTCGGCTACCACAAATTTATGGCATCATGGTCATTCATCATTACTAGCGTATCAATTGTTGATGTTGTTGTTTTTTTTTTTCAAAAAAAAAAAGAAGGTTCTTGCATAATTTGCATTTTTGGCTTGTTTTGAAGCAAAGAGGTCATTTTATCATCCTTTGGCACAAGATAATTGTTACATCGAGTAAGTGTTAAGAAAAGATCAGTTTTTGGAAAATTTTTTGCTCTTTTGCACCCTGATGTTATAGGATAGGATCCCATTCAGGATCCCACAGGAACTACCATATAAGGAAAATTAATTGGAAGTGATCTAGGACTCCACGCACACGCTTTGCTATTTTGGTTTCTCAATCAAACTGAGTGTGCATACAGTGACGATACAAATGATTTAGAGCTGTGTCTGATATTTTAGTGGATTCGTTTTCGTTTTCATATATCATTGCAATAACATCTGGTATTTAGAATGTCCCTTTCTCTTCCTCTTTTAACACTGCCACACAGGCTATGATCACAAGTGTTTGCCATTTATTTGTTTCCGAGGTTGCTTAGTGTGGCTTTTTTGAAAAATTTAAAGAAACATTAATTGGCACATGATCTGTACATACAAGCTAAAGAGGTCTATTCATGACAACCAGAAGCATGCTTCTGTGACCATAGTGACAACTCATCAAAGCTCTGCCTGCAGGAGTCTGCAATCGTCTTGTCCAGAGGTTCGAGGTTCTGGGAAAAAAGCATAGGCCCTGGAGACAAGTAAAATTCCAACATGGCGGCCGAGGATGACAGTGAATCAATGAATTTTGAACTCTTTTTAAGGGATTTTCATCACGTTATAGACTACTTGGGAACTCAAAGAAAGTTAATGGATGCTCATATTGTAGACTACTTCACATCAAACCACTGGGAAACTCTTCTACCGCTACAGATTAGGAGAGATTTGGAATCGCTTTCACCGCTAGAACTCGCATCTTTGCCAACAGCTTGTAATGATGAATCCGAAAATTTTGATAATGTTGGACACCATCTAAAGAATTTTCTCAACGAGGCGAAAATGGCGCAGCTTAAAAGCTTTTCTTGGTTAAAAGACGCAAAGGAGTTTTCAAGTGAGTTCAAGGTTGATTTTATTTCACACATCATGAGTCCAAAGAAATCATATGAAGTGGAAGTTATGTCAGATGTAGTTCACAGGATGGCCACGCAGTCTAACGTTCGTAAGGTCAGTTTCAGCCTAGTATTAAAGAAGCAACAGATAGAATACATTGACACTAATTGTATCTCACTGAATTGCAAGAATGTTCTTAATTCAGAGATGCCAACCTCTGAAGACTGGCTGAAGACCTAAAATCTGGCATTGTCACCGTTTGGTAAAACACATACCGAGAGATGCCAACCTCTGGAAATCTAAAATCTGGAGACTCTCTCGTTTGCCCCCCGCCCCCCACTTTGAGTATCAGTGACCAATGCCCCCTGAGCCCGACCCCGCCCCCGATAAGCACGACTCAATCCAGTCCCTAATTTATCACATGGGAATGGCTTAGGACATTACATGAAGTCTTACATGATGTACAGACCCTCATAATTGGCTTTTATGATTCACGTAATGCCAAAATAATCTTTGTTAGTGATGAAATATGTGCCATAATGCCCCAGGAACCAAACTATGAGTGAAAGAAAATTGGAATTTTGGGAAAAAATTAAAGCACAGACCGGGAGATTGAATCGGAATTGAATTGGTGTTGAATCCGGGAGACTCCCAGATAATCTGGGAGAGTTGGCATATCTGCATACCTGTCTAACGAATATGCAAGTATATGTTAATGTACCACATTTGCATATACCAGTCACCTCTCTAATCATTTTAAAACAAAACTGAAAAACAAACCACAACAAAAAAAGTAGCAACAAAGAAAAAAATGATCACATAAAAATTCCTTTGTCACCATAAAATGGTACATTATTATAAATGTACTGTAAATGATAAAATGTAGGCTTCATTAATGGTCTGAGTGTTATTATTTTAATTTCCTAGATTTTAGATCTTGGCAGTGGGAAAGGCTATCTCAGTCAGAACTTAGCATTGCAGTATGGATTAAAAGTTGTAGGAGTTGATTCTTCACTAAGCAATACACAGAATGCAGTGAAAAGAAATGAGAAGCTTTTAAAAGCATGGAATGGGCTAGTGAAGAAATCATGTGGTGAAAAATTAAAAATGTCGAACAGCCAATCTGACAAGGAAATTATGTTGGGAAACAGTAACTTGGACTCTTGCTCAAAATGTCCTTGCAGTTTATCAGTTAGTATTGGCAATGATAAAAACTCTGGTGGTTTGGAACAGAAAAGTGACATTGACAACAAACAAGATCTGTATTTTAATAAACTGAAGAACAATTTCACTGATAATGGACAAATTCGACCATTATGCTCAAAACATGAAACTGATCATAAAGATAGTACAATTTCTGTTGATTCTTCAATACCCTTGTCTTCTGAATGTTTTGACATGGATACAACTTGTGACCCTTTAGTATTTTCAAAATGTGGACAACATCAACACAAGAATGTACTTGTGAGAAATATTTCTAGGGATGAAAACTACTGTGAGAAGAAAGAGAGTTCAGATCTACCTGCTAATGGAGCGATAACCAGTTGTGAACAGTCACAGAGTGCAAACTCCAATTCTTTCCTACCTGTAACTGGGTTTGTTGATCAGTCATTTGTTGCCAGTGGAGAACTGAAAAGGCTGTTTGATGAGCTGCTGTATTCTCCTGAAAATTCTTCTGCAGTATCAAATGGACTATTCTTGGTTGGATTGCACACATGTGGTGACTTAGTTCCAATGGCTTTGAGAATCTTTGTCAATGAACCATCGGTGAAGTTGATTTGTGTAGTTGGATGCTGTTATCATCTTGTGTCACAACAATTTGGTAAGAATTCCCCTCTGCAGTTTACAGTAAAATTAACAATTTGTTTAGTAACTATAATTATCCGTTCCAATCTTGAGTTCTTTCACTTCCAATTACCATATTGTCTCCAATTCTGATTGGTTTAAATCTCTCTAGCTAATTTCTTGTAACCAGTTAGAATTGACCATGTTTGGCATTCCTTGAATAATGTGATTGGCACAGCCATTGAATAAATATAATAAAGATAAATAATAATAATAATAATAATAATAATAACAGTAATAATAATAATAATAATAATAATAATAATAATAAATTATTGGATGATTGATGTCATACAAACACAGTGGCAGCCAGCTGTTTTGGCAGTACACAGCTTGGAAAGATGGTAGAATATTGTATTTTAAGATTGTTATTTTGTGACTTTGTTTCCTGATAGTTTTGTTACACTATGTGAAGTTACGTCACAGCTGTGTTACATTTACATCAATGCGCTTGCGCAGAATGAGTATGGGGAATAAAAGAACTAGAGCTGTTATGTTCAGTGTGGCTTGTTTTATTTAACAATTTTGTCCCTGGACTTCCAAGTGACAACAAAGATGAAATAGCAATATTTTTGCAGACTCAAAAAGATTGTGGGAATACAGAAAAAATGCCCCATGCAGGTGTCTACTGCTTATTTTTGTCCTGTAGATGCTGAGGAACTGGTGAATGTTTTTTCTACGAGGAGGTAGAGATGTTATGAGCAGGATGTAAGGATGTTACATCTCAATTTCTTGATAATATAATTCTCTGCAGGATCTGATGCTAACTGTGTCTCAGATGATCCAGGTTTTCCAATGAGCCAGTTCTTAAAGCCTTTCAAACTTCATGTGAGCAGAAATGCTACTATGGTAGCTCAGCAGGTAAACAATGGGTACCATTTATACCATTGATCTCGAATATCCCTTGAATTCATGCAAGTTGATAGTTTTTAGCCTGTGTAGCAAGCGTTTCTGCTTGAGTTAATGCACAAAAGCTGGAACTACTAGAGCAGTAACTCAAGCACAAATGCTTGCTGTGCATGCTAGATCATTTTAGGCGTTGCATTGACCTATATCATGATATTGTAGTTTGTAAATTTTCATTTTATCCTTTTAAGTAGTTAGAATTTGTTTTTCCGATAGTTAAATGTTTTAGTCTGATTGTATTTTTATTACTTTTTTTGCCTTTCTTAGTAGTCTAGCCGTTTTAGCCTTTTAACTTTATAACTACCACTAGTTTTTTAGATTTGATTGTTATTGGTAGTTTTAATATTATTTAATCTCAGTCAGAGGACCTCCCTGAAAACCGCTTTATGTGGTGGGAATTTCCTCTATAAAGATTATTTTATTATTATATTATTATGATTTATTGAATGCAATTGATTTTGAGTGGCTTACAATGTAGTTTTGATTCTAATTAGCTTAATGTTTGTAAAGTATAGTTCCCCTGTTGGTATAAAATAATGTAGGCCTTTTATGGAAAAACAATTTTAGAAAGGGCTAGATACTTACCAGTAAGGAAATTTGTCTTAATTGATTGTTTGTATGTGACAGTTGCACAACAATGTTAGTATGATTAGCTGATAATCAACTACACTTCAAAATGTACAGAATTTAAATGAGAAATAATTATTAAATAGGTTTACTTAAAATAATAATTGAAGTCATTAGGTGAATGAGATATACAGCAAGAGAACTTTTAACAATGAATATTTGAATAAACTATTAAAATATTTCTTCTTCTGCATTAACAATTTTTTAACGTCATTTTCTTTTGTTACGAGACTTGTTTGTTTAATACAGTGAGCAGTTTTAAGCAGGCCATTGTTTGTCTTTCAGGCAGCAGATAGAATTTCTTCTGAATCAAAGGTACTTTTTTTTAAAATTAAATTAACACTGGGGTTTAACTTTCAAGCAAAAGTATGTCTTGTACTCACTTAATTTGTGCCAAAAGCTATTGTCTGAGTTAGAGTGAATGAAATAGGTCACACATACAATATTTTTAACAGAATATTGCACATTGAATTTACACATTTATGAGCCTTGCTCTCCATCCACAGAGTGCCCACCCATACAGTGTTTGAAGGCCATAGCCGAGATTGTGTTGGGGTGGGCGGGGGAGGGGGGGCATCTCTTATCTGACCTAATAGGGTGTGTGATGCTGATCAGGGTATGGAGTTTAGGATCTTGAGTCCTACAACAGAGTATTCAGTTGCATCATTTACATTTAGCATCTTGAACAGGGTGTCTTTTTGGACTGGAAGGCAGTGTAAAGAGGTGATGACCTGTATTTATTTGTGGTGCCAAGTATTTTTTTTACAGAAAAAAAAATTAATGCCATGATTTCATTTTGAAAAAAAAAACACCTAATTCTGTATGCAAAGCAAAATGAATCAAGGTCACAGAATAAGGCATCCAAGTATTTTAAACAGGGTATATACCTAGACACTATGTCTATGATGGTTGCATTTCTCTCATGCAGATTTAGTATCAGGATAACTTTTGTTTCATTTTCTGGTCTTTAGGTTCCTCCTCCTAGTGTTCTGTTCAGAGCAATCTTACAGGTGAATAAAGTCAACATTAATTTGTTTTTGGTTTGTCTTAAAACTTTAATCACTTTAATTACTGTAGTCTTTGTTCTACCTCCCCTGAAGCAGACAGTTGACACCCATACCCTTAAATGAATGCTCTCTGGTTTCAGTAAGTGTCTGCTTACTGTATGCAGAAAAAAAAATGGTTAAACTACCTTAATACAGTAAGCATATATTAATTATTTAAACCAGCCAGCTGTTGCTTAAAAATGTGTGATGTATGAGGTCATACAAATCATCCTTAGTGTTTATTTATCAGAGGAAAATGTAACTTTATACAAACCAGAGAAACAAACGTGTACACTGTACCTGATAATGTAAAACTTCATTAGCGTTCTATTTGATCTTTAAAGGTTATTTTAAAGGAAAAGTTTGGCTTGGATGGCAGGTTTGTAAGCTTCATATTGTACTTAAACACTTTTTTGTTAAAAAGCTAAGAGTACGTGTATACTAGATTAAACATTTAACAGAACTGTTTGACACATGTAAATAAGTACTCTTTCATCATGTTATTATTATCATTATAAGTAGTATCATTGTCCTTATCATTTTTATTGTCCTCCTCATCATCGTCATTATTAGATTACCCAATGGGCGGCATCGTTAGCGTGAGCAAAGTTTGGCAGAGGAGCTGCGAAGCCGTGCAGAGAATAATTACCTCGGGAGACTTCGCCACCAAAACTCTCACACGTGAAAAAACAATTCCTCTAGCTATGTAGGCTACTATATTGTATAACTTTCCTTCTATGATTAAACTATTTTCAGGGGATTGCATGTTGGTAAAGCTGGCTCAAAATGCAAAACCTTTAAGGAGTATGTACATAAATGCTTGAACAAGCTTGGTTTGCAGGACCGCATTTGCGAGGTTTGAACTTCCCTTTAGATTGTTTGTTTGTCACCTATATCTAAATGTTTTGCCATTGTGATAGTTAATGTCTTCTAGTGATGATTATGCGCCATACATTATATTGGTGGTTTTTGATCGTAACTCTGTAGAAAAGTAAAAATAATTGTCACATACGGTAACAAACAGTACATATTACCGGTGCTGCACACTGTTTAACTCTCTTTGCCTGAATTTATAGTTGTCAGATGAAGAAGTTGAACTATATCATGAAAGATTTAAAAGTCACGAAAACCAGCTGCATGCTTTTCACCAGGTTAGTTCTCTTGATATTTTACCTACCGTTTGACTAGCATGAGTTCCTCTTTCGAAAAAAGGAGTCTGTTCGTAGGTCAGCAACTAAATTAACCAGTTTGTGACAAGCAACAGTTGTCACCTGGGACATGTACTCTACGACAAAAGAATTTGGCCGCTTCAAATTCGCCCCGTGTAAGGGAATCTGGGAAATTTTTTCTTGCTGAATTTGAAATCCTGGGCTTTGGAATCCGGAATACAGCTCAAGGAATCCGGAATACCCCTAACGATTAGAATCCGTCGTCCAAGTTCCACTAAATAAGACTGGAATCCAGAATCCACAGCATGGAATCCAGAATCCAGTTCTATCAAATGGTGATTTTATTACAATTGTTACCAATAGCGGGCCTGTTTTAATCGAGATGAAACATAATATTCCAGGAATCTTTTCCTCTTGATGGCGTCTCTTCATCTAGTTTTTAAGACATCCTATGAACTTGTGGTGGAGTAGCCTGAGAAAACAGCCAACATTTCATGACGCCATCACGAGTACAGAAATTCCATACTGATGACGTGTTACTACCCAGATCTTGGTAGTGCTTCTGATAGGTTGAAGTAAATTTCTCATGCAGCATGACCAATCAGAAGTACTATCCAGAACTGGATAGTGACGCATCATCAGTATGGAGATTCTGCGCTCGTTTCTCAGAAGCCATATCGCGGGGAAACCAGTAGTGGTGTCGCGAATTGTCGGCTTTTTTGTCAGGCTTAAGTGGTGGAGTGTTGTGTAAATTCTCCATCTTTTCTATTTGACAGCTGAGGGCGGCAATTGCCCCGTGCATTGAGAGTGTGTTTCTCCTGGACAGGTTGTGCTACTTACACGAAGAGGTACTTTTTTACATCCGTCATCTGGATTCTCTGTATTTGTTTATGTCATGACATAACGTCTTTTTTTATGAGATTTTGTTGCGTTTTTTTGTGAAAACAAATTTTGAAATTATTTCCCTTCATTCATATTTTGTTTGTTTGCCTTTATTGTGCGTTTATTTTTCTGTTAGAATCACAACATTATACATGTAGCAGGAGCTATAATCGCTTATGGCTCCTGACTATAGTTGACATACTTTTACGTTTTCTTGGCTTTTACTTATCGTCTCTTGAAATATCTTTCTCATCAGGGTTTCAAGTCAGCGTCTATTGTCAGGTTATTTGATCCTGTCAAGTCTCCAAGATGCTACGCAATCATTGCAACTAAGGAATAAAAAAACACAAGACTTGTGTCATGACGTCATAAATCCATGATTGGCTTTCGGTGTGCCAATAGTAGTTTCGTGCTGTTGCTCATTATTGTATATAATGACGCAACAAAAAAGTTTGAAAAGACAAGGAACAATTTCCAATCCAATAAAAATACCAGGAAATGCCCTCCTTTTCAGGCTATTAAACAAGATCGGTTTTAGTTAGCTGATATGGAGCTCATGCTGTAATGAATAACAAACCTGTGGCAGAAGAGTAGTGTGCGTTATTTTTATTGTAACATTTATGATTAAATGCCTGCTTTGTCAAGTGATTTACTGTTTACAGTAACTTACGAGTTGCGCTCCTTAGAGTGGAGCTATTATGCACTTCGGCGATGAATAACCCGATTGTTATCCGGGAAAGTCTGTAAAGAATACACGGCTGTTTTAAAATAAATTCAATGTTTTGGACTGCAGTACACTTTTTGTTTTGATTTGTACTCTTATAGAACAGGATCTGAAGAGAAACGAAAGTTTCTTCAAGTTAGGGCGAGATCCAGTTATTATTGTAACATATAGATTTAGCCAGTGCTAAAAGCGAAGCTCTCGTTAGTATCTATAATTTACTCAAACAAAATATAAAATCGTGTAATGCAAAGCGGCGACAGCAACAAATACAGCCAAAAAAATCAGTAGGTCTAATTAGCAAAAAAAAATAAAAATAATAATGGTAACAATAAAAAGAAACCACTTTGCACGTGCAGTACACTTTTTATGTACATTTCTTTGCCGTCTGTTCACTTTTTTTTCACTGCCGCTCATTTTCACCTTGGTGGCTGCTAGCATTTCTCATATTCTCACCACCGCCATAAAATTTTCATGTTCCCAACAAAATTGGTCTCTTTTGTTTTTTATCTCTCTGTCTCTAGCCCTTTCTCTGTTATCCACGTTAATGTAGACATTAAAATTAAGTCGAAAAAAAAAGAATGGCTTTTTTGTTGTTTTTTATCTCTAAAAGTCCGGGTGGCTGTGCGATTTACCGTCAAAATGCGCGGGTGGTTGAAATTCAAAATTTCACCCCGGCTTACATGAAGAGGTGGACGTACCTACCGATTCTCACCAGGGCGGATTAAGGTTGGGCGGTGAAACGAGCGCGTCCGAGCAAAAAGGTGTGATGCAGTGGACTGGGACTCTGCTTAGAAATGTCGCTTGTTTTCGACTTCAGTCAGGGCTTGCAATGTGGTTTGTCCATTAGACACTGCCGCTGTCACTGAATTATGGCAGCTTGATTTGTTTTCTTGCACTTCTTCCTCGTTCCTTTGTGCTGGTACGCTGTCTCCGAGAGCCAAATGTTGCTATTTTTCGCGGGAGATTTAGTTGGAGTAGACAAACATCTCTTTCAAAGGGTTTCTCTGATTACTTCCATGACTCTACCACTGAATTATATTTTCGTTCTACTACTTGCCAATGTCGATGTTATTCCAAAACAAAAACTGACTAAGTGCTGTCAAAAACACGAAGGAAAATGTCATCCATGGCAAAACTAAAAGACAGCAGATCGTGTGATTCATAACTAGATGACGTGTATTTTATAAATGCGCGCAGCTCGTGCAAGGTGAAATTATGCTAATTTCAATCACCATCATCCTTCTTTTTAATTTTGAAAAAAACATCTCAGACGTCTTCCTGTTTCTTCGAAACTTCAAAATTAGTTTCACCTCAGTTTTTTCTGATCAATATATATCAATCTAATTTTTTGTTATGTTATATAAAATTAATCCTCCTTTAACATATGTAAAAATTGAGGTTAAGAAGTGTTAAGCTTTTGCAAACGAAACGGCGAAAGACGATTAGGTGATATTTAATGGAAGGAGGAGGTATTCAACACTTTCAAATTAAACTCAAATTTGGGCATTATACGACCAACAAGTTTGACTTACAGGCACACAAACACAAACATATGAAACTGTTTATTGATATTGTTATCAAACAAATTGATCTTTTTAACATTGTAGCCTGAAATTACAGAAAGAAAATAGGATTTCCGGTTTGCAAAAAGTAAAATTTCGCCGGCCTTCAAGCGCACCGGAAGCGCGGAAAGAGCGCTCGTGCCAGTCCTACTCCGCATCACACATTAAATGAAGAGCGGAACGCTCGTTTCACCGCCCAACCTTTATCCGCCCTGCTGATGGTACTCCGCCGCGCGCGCTTCTCGCGCCGAGAGCCCCGCTAAATCCGAGTTACTGGGAGTCGACTGTCAATTCAATGGAAAATTTCCACACAGACCGAGACCTTATTTGGGCTTAATAGAAAGCTCGTAATAAATTAGAGACCTTTAGTTTCTAAGACGAGTACGACAATGAGTACGAGATTTGACTTAAAGCTTTTTCGCGTATTCTCAAACTATAGACTCCCCGGAAAGCTTCATTTTACCATTTTTCACCAGAAAAGTTAGCACTGTTACCTTTAGTGAAGGAGGTTGCACCCTCTGCAGAACGCAAAATGATAAAACGTTTAACATTTGATAACTTGTTTCGTTGTCACTACATTCTCGCTAAAACTCGTAGTAGAGTGACGACGGCTACCACGTTTTCCCGCCAAAATGACGCTGGTTCACGCGCGAGCACTACTTAGTATTGTGAAAATCTCGCACTCGTTGTCGTACTCGTCTTAGAATCTAAAGGTCTCTATTTACTACGTCGGTCATAAAGATTCCTAGTCAAGTTAATTCTGAGACAGAAACGAGACTATCACGTCATTGAAGTAGCCCTGAAAGCCTTTTGGCGTTTCTTGTTATTGCGGACAGGAACCTCGTCCATTATCTAGGAATGACGACTTAACTGTTGTCTTTTGAAACGCTCTTAGGGACGGACCATTAGAAAAGTTATGGGGAGAGAGGAATTTTCGAGCCGCAGAAATTTTTTTTCGTTATCAAATTCCTTGTAATTTTTTTAGGATTAATTGGCGTACATGAATTTTTTTTAATTTAATTTTCCCTTGTGCGAATATTTTTTTTGTACTTCGCCCGCCCCCCCGCCCCCGCCATAAGTTTCTAATGGTCCGTCCCTTAGCTCGTGATAACAGAGAGGCGAACAAGAAGACTGTTTGATATCTCCTTGATTCCTAAGAATGAAGCGTTCTTTTGCACCCCGATAGACGTTAAACTCGGTCTTGAGAAGTTCGATGTCGCGCAATGAAGACAAACTTCGGCCTATATATTACGTATAGTTAACAACATCGCTGAAACCAATTTTTTTTAAAAAACTGATACGAGAAGACTCTTCCGCGAAACAACTCCGATATGGAGCGAAAAAACTTGTAGCGAAACGACAAGTAACCGTTGGGAGGAAATGTCTAGCAGCTTGCCGCGATGAGGAAAGAATGAATACTCCGCACAACAGCCGTTCATTTTTCGCGCTTTTCAGGCTAGCCAAGGCAACCGTGTAGCGGGCAAGGAACGTCGTGAAGCGCGGAAAAAAATAACGCCTGCATGAACAATGTTGTAGATGTTTGACACCCCTGCACATACCTCCAAATGGCCAACAAATAAAAAAAAAAAATAAGACACAAGGAAAAGGACACTCAGACTAGTTACACCAAATAAACAATACTCACAACTCAACTCTAATATTTTTATTTACTCAAATATTGCATTCTGCTTTTTAGTTCATCATAATTTGTCAGTACATAAATTATTTAGGTAAGGGTTATGTGGAAAAGTAGAAAATTGTTTAAAAGATTAACAAATTAAATAAAAATGATTGTGTTCATGGACGTTGTTTTTCGAAAAAGTAGTGAACATTTATTCCTGTCAGTACCATGCTCAAACAGAAAAAAGGTAAAAAATATAGTACCTACGAAATGTGGTTATGATAGATATTTTTGAATAGCTACTTCAACTGATGTCTGGAAAAAAAAATGTTTTCATTTACCTTTATGCCCGGTATCATTCCAATGAAATGTTGTCAATATCCCTTCATTTATCTTGACGAGTTGCCTTTGTTCACTTTTTTATAAACCCTCCCAATATACCTTAAATACGAAATGACTGTGTCAAAGGGGTTCCTTAATATCCCTCCCCTTGGGGGGAGGGGAGAATTGGGGGCGTCCCTCGAAAATCCCCTGTTTTATGTTTGCATGTTGACATTTAAGATCGAGGCTCTAAGTAAAAGAATAAAACTATCTGTTAATAATACAAAGTGGACTAGATTGTGAGTTCGGACCCACAACTCTAATATTTATGTTCTGCTGCGAAAATTTCCCTTCGGGCCTGTAAAGGCACCGGGGACTGTCCAGAGACGATCCCACTTCAAAGGATACAAAACACGTTACCCACATCATAAATGACGAATGGGAATAAAGACATGAAGATGAATTTTTTAGTTAATGTTTTTAACAAAGTTGCTGTACGTTCCCCATAAATATTTCCCTTTGTTTAGCGAAAACCCTTACATACTCCGATTTACCCAATCAAAACGATAAACGTCACACGTACACAGGGCCGCTGTGTACTTAGTTTGACGAGAGATGAGAATCTATGACGTTGGTGAAAAACGTCAGAAGACTTCCGTCGTACATATCAGTGATATGGCGACCCGACTTAGTGCATTTAAAGTAGAATTAATAGGATTCTTTTTCTACTGTCTCCAGTGTAAGCTAACGGTGCTCGTGTCCTCCACGAGGGCGTTTTCACTGATCATTGGATTCAGGCGTTGCACATCAATTACTGCTGCAGATCAATATCCCACCGTAATGAGATGTACATCCTGAGACAAAAGCTAGCTCTCCTCATTCCAGTATTCACTTCAACTCGCAGAGTCACCATTAGAGTTCTCTACGGCATTACCAGAATCCATTGCAGCCAGAATCTTGGAGACTTGGGCCCGTTTTGCAGCAGTCATTTGCTGGGTGATATGCACAATAGAGTCCATGGCAACCTCAGGATTTTCCTGGACAAGTCTGCATTGGATGAAACGTAACAACCTCTTAGCTACTAATCCCATAAATCTAACACGGTGAGTAAAGTATAACTATAGCTAGAATAAAACTAAGCCTTTTAA